CATGAAATGTCTCAGGAATGGAAGGACGAATGAATAGCTGAGTGAATAAAGCAGGAGAATCGCACATTTACAGATATTTTATGTGATCTCTTTTCAGTGGAAACTGACTAAGACTTATTAATAAAAATCCATTCTGATTTTGCAGTAACACTCCAGGGAACAAATTTACTATGATTAGGCAACTTCTTAAAATGATGTTTCTTTCTTTCATCATTAGCTAGTCTAAGCTGCAAGAGTGAATAATTTTTTTTTTAAAAAGAACCAGTTATTTGCAGCATAGGTTGCTAGCTACTGTAACCTAAGACCAGGTCTGTGTGCAATGTCAATTTAGCTTACTGTTTGCATGAGGGTTCCAGCTGGACTGTGTCCTTTATTGCGTGAGTCAATTGTCAGACTGACCAGGTGGTGTAGACTCTTGGTTTTGCCCTTCAGCATGTCCTTGAGAACCAGGAAAGTTTGCTAGGTCTCCCATCTCATTGTGTCACTCCAGGTCAACAGCAGGAGTCACTGGGGTTGAACTCCAAAAGTATGACAACTCAAGGTCTTGCTTTGGATTGGAATTTGTAGAGCAGACTAGAATGTCATCTGTATGCTACTTGGTCTGCCACCTTCACTAGTTCATGGACTGGGGCCTGGAAAAGTGGGGACTTCTGTCACTGAATCTGTGAATTCCTTCCTCAGGAGTGGGTGAAGCAAGCCTCAGAATGCAGGGGTGTAGGCATGTCCTTGCTGTCTGGAGCAGTTGCAGAGCTGTGCCTCCCACTGGGAAAGCTATCAGAAGTACTCCCCTGGGGCCAGCCTTTAGTATTGATTTCAGCCCTAAAGGTCACAGACTTAAGGAACCAAAATTTCCCCCTGGGCACTGCAACTGCTAAGGGGAGGGACCCATGTCCATGTGAGTGAATCAGTTGTGCCCATTGCTAGTTAAAGGTCATGGTGGTTAAGTCTACAAAAAGTTTTGAGGTCTACCCTGTCCTAAGTAATTTCCCATGTTTTCTTCTTCCTCTTTAATTATCATTTTGTCTCTGCCATTTCTTTTCACCTCCAAACTTCTTGAGAGAGAAGTCTCTATAACTCATTATGGTCTGTCCTCTACCTTCCCAAGTCTACTAAAACTCCTCCTAAATCCAAGTGGTTGAGCTTGGTCATTTGGAAGTACTTGATGGCCACTCTAATTCTGGAAACACACGTTTCTTCCCTAAGCCATAAGATGCTGGCTCTCGCATTTCTCCTCCTCCCATCTCTGGCCATCTTTCTTAATCTGCCTTGCCAGTCCTTTCTCTTTCTTTCCCACCCTGATACGCTGTTGTTCTGTAAGGCCTCTCGATTTCTGGTTGTACACACGTTCTAGGATGGAGCACACATGCCATTAAGTTTCAACAACAATGTATGTGCTTCATGTCTTGAGCATCAGAAGGGCACCAGTCAACCTGCACTGGAGTTGTGCTCCCTGCCACTGTATCAGCAGAGGTGTCCACTGGTCTGGATCACTGGAGCCGTCCCCTATCTGTACCGGCCCCCACCCCAGCTTTCTCTCCCCCTCCCACAGTTGTTGCTAGCAGAGACAAAGTTGTCCTCTGCACAGGACAACTATTTCTCTGCACCACACTGTCTCGCTGGAAAGCACACATCTAAATTAATAATCTAGAGTTTGACTGTGATTTAAGACCAAAGGGCACGGAAACTTAATTTAAAGCAAGCAGTCCAAATATTTACTTTGCTTTGAGTTCATTAAGTGCTCACCTTTATGGCATGTTTGTATTTCTGTAACACAGCTATACTCTCAACACTAATTAATTGCTTTAGAATTTAGGGAAAAATGAAGAGTGCATTTTTAAAAATGGATTTTAAAAAAAGATGCTGTAATTTGGTGTTTTTATGGGTCACTGTTACACTTCTTATGTGCTTCTGTAATGGTACTTTTCAAAGTTGAGTGTACCTTCTTTTTACTGTTATTGTTGCACTGGGGGTACAGAGTGACATTTACCAGAGTTCTTGCAATAGAAGCTTGTTCTTTAATGGACAAAGAGACGTGATAACCCTGCTGCCTCCTGGGGTTGCTGTGAGGATTACATAAGCTACATGGAACAGAGTAGCGCCTCGCACAGAGTGAGGGGTTGGGACTTATTTGCTGCTGTTATTATTGCTGTCATATGTCATTCCAGCTTGCCTAGGAACCCTTTAAAAGCATGGAGAGTGCTTGTTATAATTTTATCTGTGTCACTAAGTTATAGTCTGCAATATGTAATTAAGGATTGGAGTGAATGTTGACTCATGCTTCAAAGTTGTTTATCCATGCTGTCTGGAAAACCCAACCATAGAAAAGTCAGTGCCCAATTGTTAATCTGAAGAACATCACTGTTTGTGAGCAGTACCAGGGAGGCACAGATGTACCTCTCAGAAGTTGTAAAAATTCATGCTTTCAAATTGTATTTTAAGTGTCCTGGGAGAGTTAGCGATTCAAGAGAGATATGCTGAATCTTTTGTGCCCTGAAGAATCCTACAGAAAAGTGAGTGGTGGCACTTACATATACCGGTCCCAGGAACCTAGGTTTTTGTTTGGGGTTTTCTTATAGTGCAGGACATCTGTAATTTTTCTGAACAGTATTTGGCAGGTTGTAGGCTTCGTATTAGAAGAGGCTAGATATACTCTCACCTCATCTTTGCTTAGATGTTTCTTTATGAAAATGTGCTAGGAGTGGGAAGTATCTTCAGTTCCCGTCTGCCCTAGATTTCTTTGAAGTATGTGTGCGTTTAGTTAGAGACATCAATTTGTGTCATTTGAGATGTTCTATCATCGAGATGCATTATTATTTGTTTAAATCACTGTGAAAAAGGCACAGATACTAATTTAATTTTGGAAGTTTACCAAAGCAATTCTGCTATATTAGGTCAGTTAAAAACTGTAACTTTCTTGCTAACTTTTTCTTTCAGATTTAAACCTAAGACCTAAATCTCTTCGTTTATTTCACTAACTTTATCCAGGCTGGTAAATATGGTACAATATCATGTAGTGTTCATCTTTGTTAGTAGGAAAATCTGCAAACATAGTTCTTTGGTTCTGCACATGAATGAATGATAGCGGGGCCACTGCCTCTCTTCTGTGTGATTAATCATAAACCGAGATGTCCATAGCCAAAATAAACAGAGACAGCACAATACATTTAATCCAGCCTCCATGGTGACCAAGGATACAGAAGTAGTGAACATAGAAACCTGCTTTCTTCTAGCATTTGTAAAAAATTGATTTCATTCTTTTGATGATTAGAGCATACCCTGATTCTTGAGTTTTTAAATAGTGTTTTAGGCTTAATCATTTTCAAGAGTGATATTGGATCATTCATTTAAGACTTTTATTTAAGCAAGAGAATGCTTAATTTCAGTAAAGAGTTGTATATTTGACTTTTTTTTTTTTTGGTGGGACTGGAGTTTGAACTCAGGGCCTCATGCTTGCTAGGCAGGTACTCTACCACTTGAGCCCCTCCCCCAGCCCTCTATTTGATTCTTTATTCAAATTGTTGTAAATAGATAGCTATGCATGTGTACCCCTAACTGTCGTGGTGTCTCTGAGATTTTACTTAGGGCATTATGGAGATGTTCCTTACCGATAGACTAATGCAGATGTTTACCAGGTGTCAGATAATTGCTTCCTTATAACTTTCTAGAAATGGAAGGCTACACCTACATTCTTAAAATAAAACTATAGCTAAGTTTTGATTCTCGTGGAAACGGTAATGGGTAGTACCAGTAATTAAAGTAGTGGTTCTGCCTTTTCTTGATAACAGTATTCTAGTGCACTTACTTATAGAGTTCTCAGGTAGGGTACAGGCTGCTGGGCTCAGGTTCCTACAACTGAGGTCCTCATTGTAGTGTGCAGAGAAGAGCCTCTTCTATGGTCAGCCTCAGGCGGTCCCATGAAGCTGCTTCACTGTCCTGAGGATGGAGACTAGGGCCCAGGGCTGGGGTTGGTGGTAGAGAAGGCGTAAGTAAGATGTCACCCATCTGTTTTGTGATGTATTGCACAAGTGTCTTCAAATTACCTCCAAAATCTTGGGTAATCTTAGCCCCGTTCCGTCATCCTGTGGGTTCAAGGCTCACAGGAAAGGGAAGAAAGTGCAGGAGATGATGGAGGACTGAGAAAGTGCTTGATCCTGTGTTGACCTTTTCCTAGAATCGCTTAGTGTGTGTAGGTACCCTCTTAGTGGCTGGCAATCAAAGTCAGCCTGTAGGTAGGTTTAATTTGGTTTCATAGTATATAAAACCTAATTAAGAACAGTTAACATTTCAAAAGCGAAAGAGATTTCACTTGAGAGAGATATTTGGACAGTCACCTGCATGCATTCAGCTTTCTTGCAGGGTGACTCACTGCTTGTCTAGAGCAGGGAGCCCCTGCCTTTCTGGCTGACCCTTGCTTGGGTTTGCAGCCCCGTGGGAGACCTTGGCTGACCCTGGTTTGTGGTGCACCTCCAAGTGTTAGTAAGTCTGACCCTTCCCTCTGCCTCCTGTGTCCTCCCAGTCTCCAAATCAGCACTGACAACAAACACCTGTTCATAAAAACAAGAAAAAAAATTGGAAGTGTGTTCACTAAAAACTCGACGTTTATAGATTCTTTTCACTGTTAATGTGTGTTTACCGTGTTCATGGAAAGAGCGTGCATATTCATTGCTGGGAACAGCAGTGTTTATTTTCACTCATTTCATAGCAGTGCGGCCAGGAGACAAACTCATCTTAAGCAGAGTACCTCCACCTTAAATAAACTATGTGTTCTTACGGTCTAAACTTTGCATAGTCTAGCTGGAAAATTTTCTCAAGTGAATTGAATTAATAAACAGTATTTTAAAAATCAAATCACATGTCTTTTTTAAGCTGTCATTTGTCTTCTCGTATGTCCAAAATACTGTAGTACTAACAGTGTGAAAAGCAGTTTTATTTGTAAGGGTTTCCTGTTGTATAAGAATTATAAAATACTTTTCTTTTCTTTTTTCACAAAATTCTGCCAGCGAGTTGAAAATGGTGACTTCAACTGGATTGTTCCAGGAAAATTCTTAGCGTTTAGTGGACCACACCCTAAAAGCAAAATTGAAAATGGTAGGTTTTTCTTCCTTTACCATCTAAAATTTTAGTTTAGTTTATTTTCCTTAATTGCTGAGTTTCTTCAAACAATCCTTTCCTTTGGCGATTTTCCAAAGACTATTTATTCGTAATTTAAAAAACTGAGTAGCAGTAACTAGAGTGTTAAACGCTAAACTTCCAGGAGGTGGAGCTGTAATCGCTGTTTTGCAACCAACAAGGACAAGTTATTAAAGAATTAGAGAAACAAAAGTGGTCAGACCCAGGAGCAGCTCGCTAAGTTCTCGAGTGGCTCTGAGATCTGTCTGGGTGTAGAGTTGTATGCATCGTGGTGTTTCCTGGGGAACACCGTGTTGAATAATGATGAGGATGAAGGTGACAGTAAGTCTCATTTTCCCCATGCTTCTATGTGCTAATTCTACTCTAGGTGCTCGCCACAGAATTATCTCAGGTAACGGTCACATAACTGTGAGATGTAACACTGTCATTTCCATTTTACAGAGGAGGGAACTGAGGCTTAGAGGTAGGGAGTTTTCCCAAGTCCCACAGTAGTAGGTGTTCCTGGTTCTTCAACTCAGACCCGAACTTCCAGACGTTGCACAACACGGATGTATTTAGTTCCATTGTGACAGTGAGTAACAGTTTTTGGGCCGACAGTAATTGAGCTGTATATATTTGCAGCATGTACATATAGCCATGAAACTAAAAAGCAAGGCACAAAGCATTTTGTGTGTCTTGAGTGACTATCGTGAGTTTTCCCATCAATACTTCTTTTCTACTTCCTCATTTTTTCATCTGTTAACATTGCCTTGGCAATAAGCAATGATAGAGATCAATGGCTTAAGATTGATTTATGGGGGAAGCACATAAAATTAAAAATTATCTATGAACATAACAGCTCCTATTTTGCTCTCTATCTGGTCATAAGAGGTAGAACACCAGTTTTCGGAGGGAATTTAATTTGAAACCCTTAGATTTGTCTAGATCTATTTTTCTTCTTCTTCTTCTTCCCTCCTCCTTCCTTTTCTTCCTTCTCCTCATCTTCCTTTCCTCCTCTTCCTTCTTCCTTTATCTTCCTTCTCATCCTTGTCATTATCATCATTTCTGTAATCTAGTTGCATTGCATATTGTTATCCACACATTTAGATTTTATCATTTGTTTGAATTTCCATAAAATATGCTTAGGTTTTCATATTTTTGACCTACCTTGTGAGGAATCCTGCCTGAATTATGTTTTTGTTCTTTTTCCCCCCGAAGACAAGCATTCTAGGTCTAGAGTGTGAAGGTGACAAACAGAAGTCAGAATTAGAATTTCTCAGTCATGAGTTTGCTAATGATCTCTTTTTGCTCTGGACAGTGATTTCTTAGCCTCTGTTGTGTCAGGCTGTTGGGAATAGCATGGGGAGGGCTTTCTGACAGTTCTTTCTAGTCAGGGTTGATGAAGCCTACCTTCTGTGCACAATTACCTGACATGGAGAGCTTGGTAGATGTGTGTTCCACTACTGGCTTCCTTGTTGGGCAAAGTTGAAAGAATTTTGCCATTTGGTATTCATGCATTTTCCCGAGTTTTCTCAAAGAGATGAGAAGTATAGAACTCACTTAAAATATTTTTATAGAGCCAATAAATGCTTATTTAAAAAAAGAAGAAAACACAGTTGAACCAATAAAGAGCATAAAAGTAACCTCTGATTCTACCCGTGTTCACTAGTTTTGTGAGCTGGAGGTAGATTACTGGTGGTTTTATTTTTTCCATCTGCTTCTCTGTTTATGTTTTAAATTGTGTACATCCTAACTCTGTTCATGTGTATTGACACTGTGTATGTCTGTGCATACACATACACTTATAAATTTTGTTTTTACAAAAATGGGATTGTAACATAATTACTCTTAGCTGCTCTTTTCACGTAACATATTGTAAAATGCCATGCATGTTGTTGTTTTCATGACCGTGGCATAATTTTGCTAATTTACTTTTGAACAAAATATAAATTGTTTATAGTTTTTCACTTTTTTAAAAATTGCTCTGCTTGACAAACAGTCCTACATCGTTCTGCAGTTGAGGTTTCCTCTCTAAATTGTCAGAATCGTTAGGTAAAAGCATATTTTGTGGGTGTCTGGTGTTGGGGGTTGAGTATAATAATCCCACATTGCAATCAGGGGTGGGGATTATGCCACCACTTGCTGAACTGCCAGGCGTGGTGCTGACCTGCTGTAGTGACATCACTGATTTAATAATCCCCCCGCGAAGCAGGCGGTGGTTATTTTATGGAAGAGAAGAAGGAGATGGGGGAATTTCCCATTGCCCAGGGTCATACAGCCTGTACGACCAGCGTCTGGGTCAAATAGGTCTTTTTCATTCTGAATTTTGTGCTCTTTTTAATTTAATCCAGAGAAGATACGTGCTCACTAGAGAGAAACATACAAATAAAGAATAAAACTCTTGAAAATGTATAGAAGCAAGAAATAAGTAATCTCTGCACACTTTCTCCCCAGTGCCTCTCCTGGGTCCTCTCCTATCGAGAACAATGTCTGAAAGTGCCACTTCTACAGTATTCATTAGCTTTTCTGATGTGCAGAACAACTTCATTTAAGGCTGCCATCGCTAAAATGTTGATATTACTCTGGAATCCCCATTCTAAGGTCTGGAGCTCACTAGAAGCGTCATCATAGTTTTTGTAGGTACTTTTTGAACTTCAAATAACTTTGTATTGGAATTAATAAATTTGATCCAATTATAGTGAGCTCTTTGGTCCATTCCTTTTTTAGTTTGTTTATTTTAAATGTTGAGAAAGCCTGTCTTTCCTGAGAAGGCCGAAGGTTATTTTAGGGATTTGTTACTAGGAAAGCTGAGATTTAAAAGCAATTAATCAATCTGGGCATCAGTGGCTCTCACCTGTAGTCCTGGCTATGTTTTTTGGAGGCTGAGATTGGGAGAATTGTGGTTTGAGGCTTGTAAGACCCCATCTCCAAAATAACCAGAGCAAAATGGACTGGATATGTTACTCAAGCCTGCTTTGCAAGCATTAAGCCCTGAGTTCAAACTCCAGTCCAAACAAACAAACAAACAAAAAAGAATTAATCCAATAGCTGTTGGTAGGATGTAGCAAAAGGAGGCCCTAAGTTCTTGGGATCAGGGCAGACTGCATTTTAATTTTTTAAAGATGTGTTTGTGTCGACAGAAACCAAGAGGCACTTTCAGCCATCTGATTCTCATTGCTTAATAGTGGGAAGAGAGGAGCCTTAATTTTTCTTATTGTTGTTTAATAATTTTAAATTGGTAATGAATGAAAACCATAGAATGAAACAGACATTTTGGATTTCAGATTAAAAAAAAAAATCTTTTAAGTGACAATGTTATTCTCACCTCCGTACACACACACACAACAAGGGGGAGTATTGTGAGACACAACCCCAACATCTGCCTGCTCGTTCAGTGAGAGAAGCCCGGCTCCTCGGGCCCCCACTGGCTGTGTGACCTCCACTGAGCTCTACAACTTCTCTGAGCATTGTGAGGGAAATACAAGGCCCATCACAGGCATCCAGTGAGGACTGGCGATTTGGCAGTGCTGAGCGCATAGAAAGCACTTCTTAGATGGCAGCCAGTATGGTTACATTTTTATCATCAGTTGTCATAACCGACAACTTTTATGTTTTCCTGTATTTGCCTGCCCTTTTTGCAGTTTTTGCTGTCAATAATGACTGGGCAGACTCGTTGTTTTGCTTTTCAAATGAGGCGTGGGGCTGGGAAGAGATGAATTTGGAAATTTCTCTTAGTTCTGAAATTGTTTCTTCAGGGTTGTGCCCGTGCCTGGCTCATGCCATCTAGTGGCCGGATGGAGTAAGGGTTGGAGGAGTGAATGGATCCATCGGCTCTTGGGTGGGCTGAAGAGATCCACACATTGCTAAAACCAGGTCCCCATGAAAAGCACCAAAGTACATTGATAACACTAACCAATTGCTGTTCAGAGGTCACAGGATATTTTGATTCTTTTTTGTTATAATTTATTTGAAACAATTTTATGGATTAAAGACAAATCCTGCTCGTCACCTCTAGGAATTATAGTTCCTGATATTCACAACAAGTAGAACCAAGTTGACTCTTACTGAGGTCAGCTCTGGCACAGCTGTTGGAATCTGACTTTCCGGGTTCACATCCCGGTTCTACTTACTCCCTGTGTGTTGGGGGGCAGTTAGCTTTCCAGGCCTTCGAAGTGAGTCATTGTGGAATTTAAATGTTATCCACGTGAGACCCTTAGTGTAGTGCCCGGGACACAGTCAGGGATGGATCGGCACCAGGTGTGATGTTGTCATTAGCATATCTCAGTGTTCTGTGACCACATTTTTAAAGTCTATCCAGTGTTTTCTCAAAAGAGCCTTTCTGTTAGTCTCAGAGGTATAGTAGCTAAACCCTCCATTTACTTCTGATGGAAACTCATGTGTGAAAACAGAGGGTCTTACAGCCTTGGTGGTGGAGAGAGGGGATAGACAGACATCAAACCAAGCAGACACCATGATGGAGGAGCCAGGGATGCCAGGAATCCAAAGACGGAGGCTCACATAGCCTGCCACAGCCAGGGAAGGTTCCCCACATGCTTGTAGTCCTGTCCTTCCCACTCCTCACACGGAAGACAAGCTCTTATGTCCTCATGGCAGCCGCGGTCCTTTCCCCCTTAGGCTATAAGTCTGTTGTTGGAGAGTGATTGGAGCGAATAAACCAACTAGGAAAACAGACTTGATCATTGCGAGTAGAAGACCCCGTGCTTCTCTCCATGTCTGCGTGAACACACAGAAGACCTTAAATGGGCTTTGCATTATCTATTTGCTCAAAAGTAGCATGCCTTTAAACACCATGTATCTGGGCCAGGATTAGTGAGATCTGACTTCCAATTCTGCTTCCATCTTCTGTGTGACCGTGGCCAAGCGGACCAGTGAGATCTCTTGTTTGTAACTAGGCTTGAGCATTACCCAAGTGTGTCTGCGGGATCCAGGCAGGAAAGTAGGAACCACACTAGGTGTTCCAACAGAGGGAATTGAATACAAGGAGTTTGCTACATTAAAAAAAAGAGACTGAAAAGTAAAAAAGACAACAGAATATTACGGAGGAAACAGCTGATGGCTGGAGTGGGGCGAAAAGGAGCAAAATTAAAGTTAGGAGGACAGAGCAGTGCTGAGGAGGAGCTCTGACCTCTGGTGCTCTGACCTCTGAAGGGAAGGCCACACCGCTGCTGTTTGGATTTGGTTGAGCAGTAGAGGCCATGAGGCTGGGCTCCGGCCTCGGAGGTGAGAGCAGAAGGCTGGTTTTAGGAGGGCCAAATGAAGAGGGGTGAGGGAGAAAGATAGTGGGGGTGATCTAGCCAATGGACAATATAAGCCTACTTGGAATTCTCACTATGAATCCCCTCTGTGCAATGAATATCTCCTAATTAAAAAATGTTAAAATAGTTTTTAAAAATCTCAATATAGACACCCTCAACCCTTGGGGCTCTAGAAAAGCTTGCAGTGGCCAAAGTCTCTGCTGGGAACTTTGGCTGACTAGCCAAGGTTAGAGCTGCAACCCAGCTGTCTCTGTAACATACAGCATACTTGAATGGTGTGGACACACTAGATTTCTGGAGCCCACCCCAAAAAGAGCCTCTTAGCTTCTTTTAAAAAATTTTATTTGTATTTTAAACTGACAAAAATCACACACACACACATACACATATTTATGGTCTACAGTGGGATGCTTTAAATGACATATATATTGTAGAGTGGCTAAGTCAAGTTTGAAATCACCTCCCACTTATCATTATTGTTTTTGTGATGAGGACACTTACGGTGTGCTTTCAGTGACTTCGAAGTGTTCAGTTCATTGTTGTTAACTGCAGTCAGCACGTTTGTAGAACAGATCTCATGGACTTTTTCCCTCCTGTCTAGAGGAACCTTTGGTTTGAAGTCTACCATGTTCGTTGAGTGCTGCAGTAATGCCTTTGGGGGCTGGGGGAGTTTGTCCTCAGGATTTGAATCCTAGAGGTTGAGATTTTGAAGTTTTAGTTTAGTTTTGCCATGCTGGGGATTGAACCTAGGCCCTTGCAAATGCTATGCAAATGCTGTATCCCTTTTGTTTTTATTTTGTTTTTCCATGTAGGATTGCTACCTTTCCCTGGACTGGCAATCCTGCCTCCTGTGTAGCCGGGATTATAGGTGTGCACCACCACACCCGATTTAAGATTTTGAACTTTAGTAGTTGCTTATGATATTTTTGTGTGTGTATTTGCACAGACTGCTGCTTTTATGGGCTTGCTGTGACTTTTTACAGTCCATAAAACATACTTTCCTCCTATACTCTGTTGAGGTTGGCACACTTTTTGCTGAGGGTGTATGTTTTTGGGTTATGTCAGATGGGATGCGTGCTCTTGCTTACTGTTCCTTTTTCTCTTCAGGTTACCCTCTTCATGCCCCTGAAGCCTACTTCCCTTACTTCAAAAAGCATAATGTGACTGCAATCGTGAGACTGAACAAAAAGATTTACGAGGCGAAGCGCTTCACCGACGCGGGCTTCGAGCACCATGACCTCTTCTTCCTAGACGGCAGCACTCCCAGTGATAACATCGTGAGAAGGTTCCTGAACATCTGTGAGAACACAGAAGGGGCGATTGCCGTCCACTGCAAAGGTGAGCGCCAGGTCTCGGGAGCCACATAGTTCAAACCCAGCAGATAACGCAAAGCAAAACCAGCTCGTCTAAGGAAATGATGAGGTTTCCGAATGTCACAAAACTGGAACGTGAGCCATTTTAATGACCCCTTTCTGTGACAGGATTGCTTGGGTGTGGACAACTGGTGGCGCTGTGGCTTTCTGGATAGGGCAGTTTTTCTGACCTCAGCTGTTCAAAGCTCAGGCCATGCATCACAGTCTGGGGACATAAGAAAAGCTGTGTCCTTAGGCTGGACGAGTCTCCTTTAAGTAGGGAGCGTGTGCAGTGGCAAGTGTCACGAGTGTCCCATTCTTTTCTTTCAGAATTGCTTATCTCTTCCCTATCCTCATCCTCCAGTGTGACATCTGAGAGAAGGTGAGGTTCAGAGTGTAGGGAGTGTAGGGCTGTCAGATTGAGCAAATAAAAACACAGTTAAATTTAAGTGTGATGTAAACAGTGAATACTTTTTTTTTTGTAGTGTAAATATGTCCCAAATACTGTGTGGGATATCCAGTCTGTATTTTAACTGGAAATCCTGTGTCAGTTGCTCAGAAAATATGAATGGCCTTTGCTCTCAGCCTGGTGGTCCAGAGCTCAGATTCCACTCCACATTTCCAGGTGTGGCGGGAGAAGAGATTTTACTGGGTCTTTTCAGTGATGAGGAGTCTCGGTGGCCACTCACGTGCAGCTCCTCACGGTGCCACTGGGGGCCGCTGCTCTCGCTGTTTTGTGTCTGCCGAGGGTTTTTATGGCGTTTTTTGCTGATTGGCCAGTAGGTGTCGGGAATGGTGCTGTTCTCCTCCTGTGCTGCTGTTCTGCTTTATTCAGAGGAGTGTGGCTTTGGTTTTGACAGAAATTAAAACACATTTTGTAGGCCCTCGTTTCTATGTTTAAGATTTGAGTAGGTGGAAGCACTTTGCTGAGCATGTGAGCAAGGGAAGCTGTGTTTTCCCCAGAGACAGGGGAGGATGGAAGGGAACAGCACACGCCTCGACTTGGCCAGGGCCCTTGATGTCCCATCCGTCACTTTGGGTACAGCTGGTCCCCTGCCCTCCCATTCCTCACAGGCTGGATCCTGGCTTGCAGGACATCCCCTCCCTGGCAGCCTGTGGGTGGTGGTTGGGTGCAAAAGTGTTCCTTGCTGTCACTTTCAGGTCACAGTGTGGTGGTGGGTAGTCGGTTTGTCCTGGGTGTGTTTCATTTGCACTCTAAGCTTTTCCCTCACCCCAATTTGTTCAAGGTTTCCCAGGCCCAAAGAACACCTGCAATTTCAAACGTCAGTAGAACTCTAACAGGAATAGAGCAGAAACAGAGCTTGACAGGAGATGGTCACATCTTCGCTTTCAAAGTTTATGTTTCTGTCATGAAAAAAATCAGTATTTTTTCTTGGGATGATTAACTAGCCAATTCTGTAACTATCAGGTCATGTGATTTACCCGTGGATTAATAATCCATATCTTGGGTTGACATATTCAAGGGAGAAGAAATGCAAAACTTTCATTAAAACCCAGTGTCTTTCCTGGGGCTGGCGGAGCAGCTCAAGTGGTAGAGCACCTGCCTAGGAAGTGTGAGGCTCTGGGTTCAAACCTCAGTGCTGCCAAAAACAAAACAAAAAACTGAGTAATCTTTCTTGATAGTATTCCAAGCCTAAGAAACTTTGGGAAAATCCTGCTCTGGTGTTAAACATTCTTGTTACAGGTGTTTTCTGTATAACCTTGACCTGTGAATGCTTACCTTTTAAGAAATATATTTCTATTTCAGAGATTTTTGCAACCTATTTGCAGAGGTTTTTACATTTTCACACCAGAAACTTTAGTATTAAGTACTTATATAGGAAGGCCACTTTTCTGTGTGGTGACATCTTTTTGCGAGTGTCATTTCATTTGCTTCCACTTATACACACATGCAGGCTTCTTTTACAAGGATTACACTTTTGGGTTAATTACAGCTGTATTGCTTTTAATAGCATACTTATCTACTTTAGGCCTTTAATTATTTTAACATCTGCCCTAATTAAGTCAGCTTAATTTTCTGGGAATTCAAGCAGCACTCAGTATTTTAGCTGAACTAAAAGAAGGAGAATCTTACCCTGGGTCAAATGAACTTTGGTAGCTATGAAAATGTCACTCCTCAACATACAAAGTATTACATACAGACGCACACTAGAAACTGGTTTACTGGGACTGTGTGAGACCTTACAAGTCGGTGTGGGAATAGGTGGTCCGTTCTGTGGTTGATAAAAGGAATGGCTGGCTATGAACGCTTGGAAATTTCTAGCCCAAGTAACTAAAACACAGCAACATTGGGATATGTGGTTATTGATATTCCATATGGATCTCAGAAAATGACCAGAGCAGTAAAACAATTGGAGTTTGACTTGGTATAAATTGAACACTTTCAATTTCTTATTGCTGTGCCAGGGAGCCCTTTAATTACAGATGCTTTAAAATTTTTGTTCAAGTTTTTATAGAAACTTAGTGAAGTGTTCCTATTCTGTTCACTTGTGGTAAGAGCTATCTATTCAGTGCTAAGTAGGTTCTTTTTATAGATCAAAATTATAGACTCTTTTTTAAAAGAGGCAAAGCAACTTGAGTTTCAGAGAAATGTGAAAATTCTCTGGACCACCTCTCTGATTGAGTGGGACGAGGAGCCTGACTGAGGGCCCCAGGCAGCACCTTGCACAGAAGGCAGGTGTGAGAGCCTTCTGGGAAAGGTCACTGCTCTCCACAGTCCCGTCCCTCTGGCTGCCTCCTTCCCCAGGCCGCTCAGCTGTGTGTTCTCTACAGGGTTACCTGAAGTCCTTGTCAGGTACCTGGGGAACGACAATTATAGGCTCCAGGTAAGACAGAAAGGCAAAGCACTCTTCTTCATATTAAAGGAAAAGTCCCCGGGAGACCATAATTAAACATCATTCTTTTGTTGATCTGAGGCAAAAGATACTTCAGATGCAAGGAGGACCCCCCCTCCATCTCATCCAGCAGATTTCTATCTGAAGCACAGGTTTAGACACAGTGTATAAAGAGATATGCAGTCTCTCCGTGACAGTAAAATTTCCTGGGGACAATTAGGAAAAAAAATAAAGAGGCTCCAAGGGAACCATATGTGCAAAAATGTTATGGAATGCTGATTGAAAGACATTCCCCTTTCTTCTGAAATGAGAGTGGGTTTTAAAACTGACATGTCAGAGGTTGATTTTTTCTTACTGAGCTGACCTTACATAATGGAGTGTATTATACCACTGGACGTCAGGTTTGTGAACTACTGTGGGTTTCAAGGTCCTGGGGTGATGAGGGAATTTATTTGACCAGAGGAACGAGAAAAGCCACAAGAGAAGTCTCTTAAACCAGAGTGAGGGCATTTGTTGTCTTGTCCTCGTTCCTCTCCTAAGACACTTTCAAGGCTGAAATGGACGTCGTGTTGGTCTCTTAGGTCAGAAGCACTGGCCATTTTTAGCTTTCCTGTGACCCAGTTGAAATGTTGCTCTGATTCATTTCTTCCTCCTCACTGCACATGCCAGCCCCCCTGGGCCACCATTGTTTTCCTGCCTGGGCCTCCCTTCTCGTCTCTCTGACCCCGTCTCTGACTTTCCCACTCCAGCTCCAGACCCACTTGCTTTTTTCCCCAATCACTTTCTTGTGTCCACGGAGAGGACTGCTTCGTTTTGCCCTTTCCCCTGGTGAAAGAAACATGGATTTTCTCATTATCGCATTGTGTGTGTATTAACTGTGGATGGATCGGTAACTGGAGTGGTGTGGCTTGTGGGCAGGGTTAGCTTCAGCCATTTTTAGGGTCTATTTGCTGTACTTGGCCTTTCTTCTGCTTCCCTCTCCTACAGCTGGTCTTGGAAGAACAGGCACGTTGATAGCCTGTTACGTCATGAAGCACTACAGGTTCACACATGCTGAAATCATTGCTTGGATCAGAATTTGCCGGCCAGGCTCCATCATCGGCCCCCAGCAGCACTTCCTGGAAGAGTAAGTATAATGTCCCTTGTCGCATCATGTCCAGCCTGTGGTTACAAAACGGCTGTGTTGTTAGAGAAGGCTGTGCCTCTCATAGGCTGTTATTGACACGACGGCTAATGCATTCTAACTTGGTACCTTTTATATCTCTTAAATCAGGTGAGAGAGAAGAAAATCACAGAGCCATCTCTGCCTACCTTTTTTCTGTCATTTTCTATGTGTGATCTGGCTACAGTGCAATTTTCTTATGTCATTCCACTTGGCACTTTTCATTCTTTTCTTTTGTTTGCATGTCTAAAAGCAGAATGAAAAGAAGAAAACATAAGTAAGGTCAGTCACTAATTTTGGCAAGACTGTTGCTCTGCTGATGGCTGACGGAGCTGCTTATTAGGCTGCACCTTCTGAATACACCCGGGACCTTCCCAGGGAAGCAAAAGAGGAGAACTGGCTTTCAGCCTGGCCCTCCCTCTGCTAGCGTTGTGCCGCTAGTTAGAAGGGTCCTTCTAAGCCCTTTGCTCTCATTTGTTCACGTTCTGTTCCAAACCCACCCCGCATAACCTGCAAGGATGCATCCTTTTTGAACCATCTGTTCCTCCTAAAAATATTAGCATTTACCATCAATTCACCTATCAAGGAAATGAGGTGATGAAATTACCACCAGGTGGTCTTAGCGCGGCTATAAGATGTTATCAATTAGTGATAGTTTATCTCAAAACTTCAATTTTTTTCTTCTCATTGGGAATGGCTCTGTTATTACTCTTTGCAAGTTGAAATCAGTTGAGGTTGGTAGTAATGAATTTTGTAGAAAGAGGCTCTAAGTGTGCTCTTAGCATCTGAAATGATTAAGAAGATTTGAACCTGCTGAGGAGTTGCTTACTTTACTTATAGACCTAGAGAAACAATTGATAAGAAAATAAACATTGGGCAGGGCAGAGTGGCTCAAGTCTGTAATCCCAGCTACATGGGAGGCTTAGGTAGAAGGGTCACAGTCTGAGGCCAGCCTCAGGCAGAAAAAAAAGCACAAGACCTTATCTAAAAAAGAAATAGCACAGAAAAAAGCTAGAAGCATGGCTCAAGTGATAGAGAGCACTCAGTGCAAGGCCCTGAGTTCAAACCCAAGCACTGCTTCATTTTTAACTCATTTAACCCACCCTGAAATTATCATTTAGGAGAACATTCATTCAGGAGGCCTCTCTGAGTACTCGCCTTGCTCCAGGCACTCTGTGAGGTGCAGCTCACAGGTGAGGAGATGAGTGTCACCACTGGTCAGGGTCACCTTGCTTCTTCAAGGTGTCACATACCACAGGCCCCTGCTTCAAGCCTGCCCCTGCCTCTTCTCTCTGCCTTACCTGCAAATGATGTCAAAAGAAGTGAGGGATCCCAGCACCCACATTTGGGGTAGAAGCAAGGTTCTTTCCATGTGGAGGTGCTTAGTCTGTAAAACTTTGGGGACTTCCCTAGCTGTGACTCGTGCTTCAGCGCTTCAAGTCCTGTGAAAACCGGAGTGCAGGATTAACGCCAGTGTTAGTGTCAGCGAGTGTTTAGATTAGAGCCCTCCCGAGGGCAGGCCCCTTTTTGTCATTGCTCCTGTACCTTTTATACTTTGCAGTGTCTTTTACAGAACTTGCATGGAAAGGTGACTGCGTTGTCACGGACTTTTCACTTCTTTCAGGGGAGGGGTCCTTGGCTGGTTCTGCTAGGTATTGAGCTTGACTTTTTACTTTTTTATTCTCTCCTCTTTTGCATCATCTCTCGCTTTCTCCCCGTTCCACATCCATGGCTCAGTGTACCCCATGGGGGAAAACGTTGGTGACACTCATTCATAGGTTGATAGTTGTGTGCACACGGCATTCTTGGCTCTGGGGATTCAGCAGTGAACTTGGCAGCCGAGGTCCTTGTGCTCAGGGTGCTTCTCTTCCTAGGTAGGTGGCTTTGTGTACAGGATGGTCTCTGATGGCCAGTGCTGTGAAGATGTGATAGAAATGGCGGGGGAGAGGCTTTTAGACAGCAGTGAGGAGAGATCCAGGTCAAGGAGGTCTCTGAGGAGTGCTGAGACCTAGATGGCCACAAGAAGCCAGTCCTGTTCAAATCTGAGTTGTGTCCCATGTAGGGGGCACGTGGAAGTCCTAGAAAGGACATGTTCTTACTGTTTTAAAGTTGAGAGAGAGGGCTAGTGTGGATGGAGCATAATAACCTGGAAGAGGGTGACACGAGAGGTAGGTACCTGTGTAACCTCCCCAGGATCAAGAAATAGAACATTCTTTGTAACCAGATGCAGTAGCTCATGCCTGTAATCCTACTACGTGGGAGGCTAAGATCAGTCCAGCCCAGGCAAAAAGTTAGTAAGACCCATTTCAACCAAAAGCTGGGTGTGGTGGTGTGAGCCTGTCATCCCAGCTATGGCAAGAAGCATAAACTAGGAAGACTGTGGCTCAGGCTGGTCTGGGCAAAAAGCGAGACCCTATCTCCAAAATAACCAGAGAAAAAAGGCCTAGGGTCATGGCTCAAGTGGTGGAGCACCTGCCTAGCAAATGCCAGGCCCTGAGTTCAAACCCTAGTATTGCCAAAAAAAAAAAGAAGAAGAAGAAAAGGGAAGAAATAGAACATTTCCAGAGGTCAGAATAACCACTGTTCTGACTTGTAGCTGTCACATTGTAGAGGAGCTGTGCCTGCTTTTGAACCTTATGTAGATGGAACCACACTGTGTCTAGCTTCTTTTGTTCCACATTCTCTTCATTGTTGTTGGTAGAAATAGCTTGTTCATTTTCATTGCTGTATAGCATTCCATTGCTTGAATTATGACATTTTAGTTCTCTTGAAGGGTTTTTAGGCTGTGCCCAGCTTTTGACTAGCTCATACCCTTCGGTGCACCCTCTGTTGGGTGTATACCTGTGAGTGGAACAGTTGGCTGTGTGTGTGTTCAGCGTTAGCAAGTATTATCCAGAATCTTCTGGGGATATGAAGACCCAAGGGATGAGCAGAAGTCTCTTGGTGCAGCATTTGCAGCGGGGAGAAGTGCATTCTCTGAGGTATCCAGGTGACCCCAGTGGGGTGTCAGATCACAGGGACTGACGTGCTGGGGTGGCTTGGTCATCACTGCTAAACTTTGACCGACATCTCTGGCACCCCACCTCTGGCAACCACAATTCTACTCTGCTTCTATGAGTTTGAGTTTTTAGATTCTACATTTGAGGAGATCAAAATAAGCTTTTGGCTTATTTTGCTAAAGAGGCAAATCCTCCAGACTCAACCATGTTGCAAACGACACCCCTTCCTTTTCTTTTTAAAAGACTGAAAAGTATTCCATTATGTAAGTGCCCCATTTTCTACCATCCAAGTGCTAACCAGGTCTGACCCTGCTTGGCTTCTGAGATCAAGGTCGAGTGAGCTCAGGTGGCATGGCTGGAGTCCATTCACCCACTGGTGGACACTTGGTCATTGCAAATTATACTGCACTAAACATGGGAGTGCAGCTGTCACTTCAACAGACCCAGTGGTGAGGTAGCTGGATCTTTTTCTTTAGTTGTTGTTTTGTTGTTGAGGAATGTCCACCCTGCCTTCCATAATGGCTACCCTAATTCATACCTCATGTGGATGATTTGGACGAGACCAGAGGGTTTCACAGTGAGCCCACGTGTCTGAAGGGAGAGTCAAGGAAGAGACCAGGAGTTAATGGCATCAGACCCGCAATCTGCTAGGGCTTTGTGAGGACATTTTTTATTTTCCATGGGATGATGAAACATCAGTGGAGGGTTTTGAGCAGAGGAATGATGTAATCACACACCTGTAAACTAAAATTTTTATTTTTGGATAATTAGCAATTAACATGTAGTTGCCAGAAATAATTCAGTGAATGGATTTTTCCCAAATGTTAACATCTTCCCAAATTATAGTGTAAGGTAACCAGGGTATTGACATTGGTGTAGACAAGATACAGCTCTATCACCACCAAGACCCCATGCTGCCTTTCCATGGCAAACTCACCTCCTCCTATTTGTGTCCTTAACTCCTGGCAACTACGAATTGCTCTCCCTTTGTCATTTCAAGGGTGTTATGTAGATGGGCTCACAGAGCATATCACCTTCAGGCTTGGTATTTTTCACAAAGGATAATTCTCTAGAGATTCATCCAGGTACTTGTGGGTATCAGTAGCTCGTTCCTTTTTGTGGCCGCGTAGCATTACTGAAGGGTATGCACAGTTTTGGGGTATTACCCGTGAGGATACTGTCAATGAAAGGTTTTAATGTGAGCGTAAGTTTTCATTTCCCCAGGATAAGTACCATTTAGATGTCTTCTTTCCATATAAATTTTGGAATCCTCTTATCTAAGTCTGCAAATAATCCCGATGGGATTTGATAGGAATATGTTACACCTGGATCAGTTTGGGGAGAGTTTGCCGTCACTATTGTTTAGTCTTCTGATCCATAAAGTGCAGTGTCTGTGTTTTTAGATCCTTTTTGTTTTCTTCCATTAGGGTTGTGTAGGTTTCAGGATATAAGTCCTGTTTTGTTAGGCTCACACCTAAGTATTTGTTTCTGAGAAATTTTGAATGGTATTTGCAGTTTTATTCCCTGTCTCTATGTTCATTATTAGTATACAGACAGACAGCTGCTTTTTAATATACTTATTTTATACCCCAAAACCTAGAAAGCGTGTGTGTGTGTGTGTGTGTGTGTAGATTCTTGGGGATTTCTATGTATATAATTATGTAGTCCACAAATAGGATCATTTTCTTTCCTTTTCAACCTACATAGTTTTTATCTCTGTTTTATCCCTTGTTGCAGAAGCTAAAACTTTCCAGCATTGTGATGAATAACAGATTGGAGCAGACATCCTTGTCTTGCTCTTGCCTTTGGGACATCATCCAGGCTTTCCTCAGTAAGTGTGGTGCTAACCGGAGGTTTTCTGTAGGTGTCATTTAGCAGCCCGAGGAACTCCCTCGACTTCTATTTCTCTAAGAGTTTTATGAATGAATGCTGAATTTTGTCAAAGGTTTTTCTGTGCTGGTTTCT